GAATGTAATTTAAAAAATGAATAAATTTGGAACTTTTCGCAATTTCAGACATGGACAACGATCCCAATAGAGCTCCACCATGCGACCCCGCCGTGTGCGTTCTTCCCGACTGCTTCTGCTCGGAGGATGGTACCACGATACCCGGCGATCTCCCGGGCAAGGACGTGCCACAAATGGTCACGATAACCTTCGACGACGCCATCAACAACAACAACATCGGCCTCTATAAGGATATTTTCAACGGTAAGCGCAAGAATCCGAACGGCTGCGATATCAAGGCGACGTTCTTCGTCTCGCACAAGTACACCAACTACTCCGCGGTCCAGGAAATGCACAGAAAGGGCCACGAGATCGCCGTCCACTCTATCTCGTAAGTATTAACTTCTCTAATTCTAACATTCTCATTTCTCTCGCTTACACGCCATCTTCGAAAGCCATGCTCCGCCCGAGTTGATTACGAGACACTCTCGAGCGTGAGGTTCCAGGGAAACCATTCATAGATTGAAAAACAGGTTCACGAGGACAGGTTCCTGCGATGCGTCATCATGCCGTCTCGCTCACGACCATAGTCATAATTGTTAAAAATTAGAACACGATCACTACATAAAATGTTTACATGACAACTTTGGGGCAAGGCATAATGACGACGAGCGCTTCTGGTCGGACGCGACCGTTGACGATTGGGCAAAGGAGATGGCCGGTATGAGGATCATCGCCGAGAAGTTTGCCAATCTGACGGACAACAGCGTGGTGGGCGTGAGAGCCCCATATCTGCGAGTCGGCGGTAACAATCAATTCACCATGATGGAAGAGCAAGCCTTCCTGTACGACTCCACCATCACTGCGGCCTTGAACAATCCCCCATTGTGGCCGTACACCATGTACTTCCGGATGCCGCACCGCTGCCACGGAAATCTTCAGCACTGCCCCACTAGGTGAGCGCTATTTATGTGTAACCTTGATCGACAGTTTCCTCATATAAATATGTAGATGGTAACAAGAATATTTTTTAAATAATGCTTTAAAGATCGCACGCTGTGTGGGAGATGGTGATGAACGAATTGGACCGGCGCGAGGATCCGCAGAACGACGAGTACCTGCCCGGCTGCGCCATGGTGGATTCTTGCAGCAACATCTTGACCGGTGACCAGTTCTACAACTTCCTCAATCACAATTTCGATCGTCACTACGAGCAAAATCGCGCGCCTCTCGGCCTCTACTTCCACGCTGCCTGGCTGAAGAACAATCCGGAATTTCTGGACGCCTTCCTTTACTGGATCGACGAGATTCTGCAGAGTCACAACGACGTCTACTTCGTGACGATGACCCAGGTGATTCAGTGGATTCAGAACCCGCGCACCATCACCGAGTCGAAGAACTTCGAGCCTTGGCGGGAGAAGTGCACGGTAGAGGGTGCGCAAGCGTGTTGGGTGCCTCATACCTGCAAACTGACCTCCAAAGAGGTGCCCGGCGAGACCATCAACCTTCAGACTTGCGTGCGCTGTCCTAATAATTATCCCTGGGTGAACGACCCGACCGGTGACGGCTTCTTCTAAACTGCCGAGAGCGCGATCCTCTTTTTCGTCTAAGTCAAGTCCCTCCTCCTGTTTCTCCTCTCTGTTCTCCTCGGCCCTGCGGATTTCCTTTTTTCCTGTATCTCGATCTGAAGGGCACGTCGCGTCACAAATCTTCACAATTCAACACGACGCCGGATATCCATCGACTGAGGCGTCCGTATCCTCGAGACTTTTGAAAGCAACGGCGACGAGGCACACAAGAGAAAAGAGAAGAGACGTCGTCGACCCGTTAGGCTCTGGCAACTCCGCTCTAGTTGTCAATAATTTTGCTGTTTTATTGTTGAGAACGATGTATCTGTGATGATTAAGTTCTGTTCGATTAAGAACTAGAACACTACACAGAGTCTAATGGATTAAAGACGAATAAAATAGAGGGAAGCTTTCTATCCGCTTCGCATTCACAGATATCTCTTCCATATTGAAGTTTAGCTTCATCCAAAGTATATAAAAAAATAATTGCATTATTATTTGAGAAAATCATAAAAATTACAAAATTTTTTTACGCGTGCCTCGTTATCAGCTGGTAATTAAAGTAACATTCATCATACGCCAGCAATCTGTGATAGACTCCCGAGAGAGGCGGCGTTCTCGAAGTCCTCGAGGCGGCAATGACGGCGACGACTATGACGACGACGACAACGAGATTCGCGCGCATTCCATTCGAAATCGGCGAAAAGCAAAACAAAATGTCGCGCCCCACCCGATCCCATGAGGAGAAATCGCGGATCTCCTTCGATAGCGGCGACTGGCGATCCGCGAGTGGGGGATTCCGTGTGTAATATAACCGTGTCCCCTTCTCATTCTCTCTTTCTGACTCGCATCTCTGATTTCCCGACCGATATCGATCTATCGGCGAATATCCGTCTTCCTTCAATCCCCCTTTCCCTCCCTCGACGGAAGTAATCTATGAAAACCGCCAGATTAATATTGTTCCCCGATTCGAAGTGTGCCCTTACTTTTTTAAGGGTTCCGCCGATCTATATATAAATATATATATATATATTTATATATATGGAAATTAAATATTGTATATGTATATTTGTAAAAGTAAGTGATACTACCAACATAGCGTTCTCTCGACGAACCTTTGAATAAAAAATTCTGAGAAATCTTAAACACGATGCGATCTGTCTCGTTCTTTCTCTTTCTCCTGGCGCGCGCTCGTCGTATTATTCATTACGATCGTTCGGTAACGGAATGGAAAGTGGGGTATGCTTAAACTTTGCAAACTTGACCGCCAAACCGGGGCGAGCTTCGTTTTTAAAACGCAAGACAATGAGAGGGCGGAGTGCTCTTTATTCATTCGTTCATTAATTGTCTCGGTACTTGTCTCGGGATTAATAATGTGTGCCATTAAAATCTCACGATGCAAATACGCAGCGGAATATCCGCTAGCGTGCGAACGTCGAAGAAAGAGTGCCGGAGAAAAATCTCGTTCATGAATCGCGATCTCGCCGAGCCATCTTTTTCTCTCTCTCTCTCTCTCTCGCAAGAACACGTTCCGAATGTTTTCTTGATCGATTTGTGTCTGGTTAGTGTCGTTAAATGCCCCGATATGCGATTGCGATGCGTGTCACACATGTACATACATTACGAATATAAGAGGACGGTATTTCAGTTTATGCACGACGACGAAAACCTCATTCCGGTTTCGTGGTTGCTCTGAAAATCTCGCTCGCGTGTCTCGGCTGCCATCCAGCCGCCGTCGCGGCCTTGATCTGAATGCGATGCCGTGGGTATCGATGACGCGAAGAATTAAGAATGATCCGACCCTCCCACGCCTTGAGAAAACTCTCCAAGAAAGCGCTCCGAATTTCGAGAGCGTCGGCGATGATCCGAGCGATCGTTTAGTGATCCGATTATATCGTGAAGCCGATTATATTGTCCTACTGATTTTTTATATATATATATATGCATATTTTTGACTATGTCAATCATATTTTGAGTATTACATAATTTCTTTGATTATTACATAAGAATAATTTGCAAAGTTTTTGATAACAATAAAAATTGTTTGAATGTGCTCTAAATCCATCGCTGCAATATGAATAAAATTTACTGCTATTTCATATTTCTTTCTCACAATCAGTATTAATATTCTACAAGATTTCAAATTCTCAACAATGCTTAAATCATATTTACAGAGATCTTGCCTTGCCTACAATTTAAAAGTTTGCAAAGTAAATAAAAGTTTGGACTTTCTCGTCGATATAACTTGAGACGCGGCAAATAAAAGTGCATCCTGAAAGAAGAAAGAAATTCTTTCCACGCGAGGAATTAAATCGTGATAAAACGAGAAGCGCTTTTACAATGGCTCGCAATGAAGCGCATGGTTCTTGAATGGCTCTTTATTCCTTTTGTTTTAAACGGTTATTAAATTTGCCTTGCTAATTAAGGCGGATTATATAGCTGTATTATGCTGCCATGTGTGTTTGTATGTGTGTGTGTGCGTGTGTATATGTATGTTATGGCAGACATTGCCGGGAACGAGCTAGAATACGTTCGACAATAATGTACAGGACGTCTCTTCGCCAGATCGTCGTTTTCATCCACGCTTTATCATCCGCCAGGAATCGGAGAGAAAGAAAAGATTCGCGCGGCAGAGAATGGCAAAAAAATAATTGTAATCTCGTGAAATACCACAACCGGCCCGTCGCCTGGCGACGGTTGCATTCCGATGCAGCCTCTCTTTCGTCGCTGTTTAAAGCATCATAGTTTCCACGCGTCGAGACGAGCTTAATCAACCGATAGGAAAGGATTCCACCGTCGATTCTAAGAGGCTTCTCTATCCGCAACGAGCAACAGGTTTCTCAATCCCAATCGTAAACGACAAGTTAAACGCGATGTATTTTTTTTATTTTGATTTACTTCTTTATTTTATGCTATTAAAATACGCGAAATTATAACGTATATTTGTTTGTATATTGTATACGATAAATTACAATGATAAACGCAACCGCATTATTCTTCCTTTGTTCAATCAAGTGCCTACTCAATCGATCGTAAGCATCTTTACGCCTGGTATAAATTCTTTGTTCGATAATTTTTCTGCGTCACGCGTGAATGGGAGGTTCCACCCACGATCAAATGCCATTTATCCGAGGAAGAAATGCCAATAGTTTTCGCAACAACAAAGGCGGCATCTTTAAAGTAGCACTCTGATAGCGCTTGTCATAGATAATAATTCCTAGAAATTTTTATAGAATGTTGAATCGCTTAAGATGCAGTTGCAACTGATAACTACCATGAATGACAAACATTGTAGAAGCGTTTAATTTTTTAGAATATTTAATAATTACACAAATTATTTAAAAATATATTTTTTGGACCAAAAGGATCTTCTTTCCAATCGGCAAAAATTTTCATTTTACATCAATTAATCAAGCATTGCATGCTATTAACTGCTCTTAATTAAATGTTATTTAATGGAAATGCTAGACAACTAGCTTAACGACCGAATGCGGAAAGACAACGTTGATCCTGTACACACCGGGTAGAACAAATTTTCTCCTCTACTTTGCTGTAGAATGCATTGCCTCCCAATAAAATGCTCGCAACAACGTTAAACGACAGCCTGAAAATCTCGCATAAGCGAAAGTAGAGAAAGCTGCGTATCTCGCGGAGCCACGACACGGAGCAAGGCCGACGCTGTTTAAAGACGAAACATACCTAACGGCGCCGTCCAGATGGTAGAATCACGTACGAGGCTTTCAGGTGGGTCACTGGGTATTAATCGCGTGTGCGCGCACCGGATCGATTATCTTCGGCGAGCGTAATAAAAATTTCATGGATCCCGAACGGGGGTCCCCTATCGTTAGGGGTCCCGAGTTATCGCGTCGATAAATATTATTCTTGCGATATTTTTCCTTCGTTTGTAGCTTTAATCCGGCGTTTCTGCGTGCAATTATGCAAGAATGTTCAAAAACAATTTTTATTTTTGTACTAAGCAAAATTATCCAGCACATTGGATCGATCTCTAAAAAATTTCGATATATATTAAAATATTTATCGCATATTTGATTTTAGTTAATTTTTTTTTTTTAACAAATATTTGTATTTTGTCGGTTAAATTGCGGATTAAAAATATACTGGAAAAAGCACTTGCGACTCGTGAAACAATCTACCGGCACGTAATAATGCAATTTCAAAGATCTCTGTATTCAAAGTCGCATATGTTGCATTATTAACGATAATTCGCGTTCCCAGCGAAGATAACGAAGATGGGGATGCGATTTCGAAGACTGGCCCGGCGATTTCCTGGGCTAAACAAAGCACGTGCGAGCGCAAGAATTTCGATAATGGAATATTTAATAATTTCGCTGCTCGTTCGCTCGGCGGCGCGCCTCGAAAGGAAGAAATCGAGCGAGTCGGTGAAATTGACTCCTACTAGGTCAGTGGGTGACGGAAGACGAGTGTGACGCGTATTCGTCTATCTGTTTTGCCGCGGCTTGTTTTCAGTCGGCGCCAATGTAGATAAACATCCGGTGGCAGGCTTCTATCTCTCTGCATCGTTAATTGAAATTCTCCTTGCCGCTCGAGGTTTCGAGGGAGGGATAGGACCGGAGATTTTCTCGCAATGCTCAATTTCACCGGTGAAGATATCGCGGTGGCTCATTTAAAAAAATAAATTCCGCTTAGTGAGAGAGAAAACAACAAATTTATGAATACACATCGCGGAATGTGAGAGTCTCCGATAATTTTGCAAAGTATGTAGAATAAATTGTAAATGCGTTTTATTTATTTAAATATATTATAATATGCATAACGTGTAAAAATTATTACTTAAACGAAGAATAAAGAAAGCGTTAATTCAATGATAATACAAGTAAAATATATGTAATATTTCCAAAGATTTAATCATTGTTATAAGAGAAAAACAAATAACGGTAAAATATAATGAATTAAAAGTACGATAGTGAGTTTTATTATTACGAGACGCAATCAGCTTCAGCAAGTTGTACTATTCTAGCGATGCAAAAAAGAATGTCCTTCGAGCCGGATTTGAACCAGCGACCTATGGATATCTCTACACCTTAATGAAGCATTTAAACCTCTACAGTCCACCGCTCTACCAACTGAGCTATCGAAGGCTTCTGATGAAGCTTGCTTAAGTAGCACACATCTTCCAAAAGGCTTTATCTATAGGTATTATAAATAACGCACTTATTATCACTTATTATCGCTTTCAAATTAAGACAATATTAATGTAAAATGAAATATCTATCAAATTTGAAAGAGCGATTTATGAAAATGTTCTCTAGAAAAATAATTACAAGCCATTGTGAATGCGCGTTTTGGGCAAATTATATAATTACATAATTATATAATTATATTGTTACTAAAGGTATTTTTTGAATTTTATAAATCATATTGAATATATTCTTTTTTTTAATATTTTAATCCCCTGTCTTTCGCATTTTTTTTCTCATATATATATTATTATTATTATTATTATTGATATTGTTATTGTTATCGCAAGCAAAATTTTTCCTTCGAGCCGGAGTCGAACCAGCGACCTATGGATGTCTCTTTTCTCACAAACAATCAAATAACTACAGTCCACCGCTCTACCAACTGAGCTATCGAAGGCAGTTGTTAATTACATTTAATTATGCCATCATGAAGAAATTGATAAAAGTGAACAGATAGCCCCAACCGCGTCAATCGACGCCGCTGATAGAGTGGCAATTTACAAAACAACGGCGTAAAATTTACAACACCACTAGCAGATACTATAACGGCTTTTTTGCGACTCGCCGTGTTCGCCGCGATATTAATGTAACACTTTCATCGTAAAACAGATACAGATCGTAATAATAAACTGTGTTCCGCTACCGGCGTTACACGATCGTTTCGCCTGAACGAGCAGAATTTTCTTCTCGAGTCTGTCGCGAGAGCGATTATCCCGAAGTGGACGTTTATGCGAACCGCGTTACGGTAACGAGAAACAAATTGCCAGGTGGATTGCCTTCTGGTAGCGAACGACGGACTCTACCTGACGGAAAATTCCGCGGCAGACCCGTCTCCGGGTAAAGCGAAAACTCAATCAATGGAAAGCGATTATGCAGATTTCATATTCTCCAAAGGAGAAGCGAGTCGCGGCATTTTCACCCGCTGCGAAACTC